AACTATCCTGATTCATGGCCACTGGCTTTAATGGCATGGCCTAATGAGGCCACGGACAGAGGCGTCTGAGTCTGTGATTCATAAGATGCTGAAAACTAGGAAGTTTTTCCTGCCAGGTCTATATTCGGACATGGAAGGCACACTTCACTTGGTGTAAGTCTCGGGGCTTCCACCCCAGGAGTTTCAACAAGGGACAAACCCTTTCCTTCCTACTGCTGGGTCTAGACCAGTGCACCTCCCCCATTCATTCCCTCATGACTCAGTTGGATCTGAATTATGTTCTCTCTGTGTTTTAGAAACTTTACTCAAACCCACAAGGTGGTACTTCTTGAAGCCATCACCTCTATGAGGCACATGTTCTGAGTTAGCTGCCTTTTCTATCGAGGACCCCTATCTGGTTTTTCATAGGGCCAAAGTGGTCTTGAGATTTAAGATTTCCTTTTTGTCTAAAGTAGTTACAGCTTTTCAGCTCAACCAGGACATAGTTTTTCCTTCGTTCTGTCTGACTCCAGTTCACCAAAGGGAAATTTTCACTACATTTTCTGGCTGTGGTTTGGGAGTCTCTCTCTCATCCATTGCTTATTTCAGGACTAATTCCCTTTTTTGTCATGCCGGATGGACCCTGAAAGGCTGCATTGGCTTCTCGTTCCTCCATGTCTAGTTGGCTTAGGCAGCATCTCACCTAAGCCTGTGGTCTCAAGGATCAGGGTCTTCCCTTTCCGGTCATGTTGTAATTAAGTTGAATTCTTCTTGGACTTTTTGGCATGGGGCAACTATTTCTGAGATTGGCATGGCTGCTTCCTAGTCCTCAGTTCACATGTTATCCAAGTTCTGCCAGGTGGACCTTTCAGCCTCATCTGATGCTAGGACTAGGTTTGGGCTAAGAACGTTTGGGTGGCTATTTAAGCTGCAGTCTCTCCCAGTCCTGTTTTTCTTGGGCCTGTCAGTGTGTGTTTGTTGCATTGCTCACACCCCCATTGGACTGCTTTTGAACAAATGTTAAGTCTTCCAAGGAGCAGGGCCCTCCTATCCCTCTTGTATTGAACTGTATTGTTGCTGTATTATCTCCCTTTATTTTGTAAAGCGCTGAGCAAAACTGTTGGCGCCATAAATCCTGTATAATAATAATAATATAAATCCTGTATAATAATAATAATAAAAAATCCTGTATAATAATAATAAATCTTCCTGTGTGCATAAAATGAAGAAAAGAAAAAAATAGGATTTTTGTACTCACTGTAAAGTCCTTTTACTTGGAGTCCATTTAGAGACACAGGTCCCACCTCTGTGTTTTTGAATATGCTCTTGGTACTGCTTTGCAACAAAATAGAGGCTTTCTGGTAGTAGGATTTTTTGTTTGCCAGCGTCCTGTCCTCCTGTAGGCGGCAGTATAACCTGGAGGTTAATCTGTGTTCCTCAATTGACTCCCAAGAGAAGGTTTTTATGGTAAGTACAAAGAAATGTTAGCAGCTGTTTCAGGTTTTTTGCTTTAACAAAATAGCTGCAACATTTATTGTTTATTGTGCACATAAATCTAACACTGGAAGATGAGGAATGTTCTCTCCCTTCATGTAGTGACTCGTTTTTTTTTTGTAACTGCAGGTAACAAATCCAGCATGTCCAAGGTATATCGGTGTGACGTCTGCAGCTACACCAGTCCTACTTACGTTGGTGTTCGCAATCACATAAGAATTCATACTTCTGACAAGCCATATAGGTATGTGACCGTCTTGTTGCTGATTGCGTTTACCTCTGGGTTTTAACCATTAGTGAACCCAATCACTAAAATCTCATGCAAGCATGTTAGGCTGCTTTTATACTGCAGCGTTTCAAATGCGCACTATGCATTTTAAAAAAACGAAACGGCGCATTTTAAATACATTGCATTCAAATTTAGTGCAGTAACTAGTTGGTTGTAAGGGACGCCACTCCTTTAACCACTTCCCAGGGGTGCAGTGCAAGAGCGGGTTGCTGTTCATAAACGGCGCTCGCCATTTTGGACTGTGCGCGCTCCCTGGGAACGCGCGGCACCGCCGAACGGGACCACTGTGTGAGGTCCCGATCATGTGATCACTGATTGGCCAATCGGTGATCACATGAATAGGTGTAAGCAAGATGTGAATGATCACAGGGGTCACATGGTACAAGGCCATTCACAACTGCCTTGTACCATGTGACAAGCTGTGACCAATCGCAGCTCACACAGTATTTCTCAATGGCTGCAGGAATGCAGCCAGAGGGAAGGAGAAATGATTGCTTTTACAGCCTTTATGTGTGTAAAAGCAATGTGTAAAAAAAAAAAAATATATCTTCATCACCCCCTACAAGTAGTACAATGTCACCATGGTGATACTGCTCTGCTAGGGTGACAGTATGTATAAAAAAAAAAAAAAAAAATAATAATAAAAAAAGTTTTAATAATTATAATTTTTGGCTATAAACTAATTTGGGTTGTTTTTTTTTTTTTTTTTTTTTTGTAAACAGATAACTGAATACATTGTGGCCAAGATTTATGAATAAAGATTATTTGCAAAATTTTAAAAGAAAAACACTTTTTTTTTCCAAAATGTTTGGACTTCATCATTTATATAGCAAAAAAAAATAAAAATCCCAGTGGTGAATAAATACCACCAAAATAAAATTTTATCTGTCTCAAAAAAAATGCTAAAAAATTCATATGAGTACAGTGTTGCATGACCGCGCAATTGTCATTCAAAGTGTGATAGCGCTGAAAGCTGAAAATTGGCCTGGACAGGAAGGGGTGAAAGTGTCTGGACTGGAAGGGGGTGAAAGTGTGGACTGGAAGGGGTGAAAGTGTCGCTGGAAGGGGTGAAAGTGTCTGACTGGAAGGGGGTGAAAGTGTCTGGACAGGAAGGGGGTGAAAGTGTCTGGACTGGAAGGGGGTGAAAGTGTCCGGACTGGAAGGGGGTGAAAGTGTCCGGACAGGAAGGGGGGGAGTGTCCGGACTGGAAGGCGGGGAAAGTGTCCGGACAGGAAGGGGGTGAAAGTGTCTGGACAGGAAGTTTTTGGAGCGCCAGTCTTTTTTTTTTTTTTTTTTTTAAAATCACCCCGTGATTGTCTTTATTATTACCGTCTAAATAGTATACTTTTTTAGTTGTAATCATTTATGTGGCTTTGATATCCTGAAATGCTCACTGCACCCCAGGTAGACAGCGTCCTTTGAGACTGTGGGCATCTGAAGGCCGCTAGTAGTTATTTTCGGGATTAGGTGCAGATGATTATCCAGCATGCACCTCGCGATCGTACGCCCTCACAGTCGGAACACATCGCGGCACACTGTGTTGATTGCTGGTTGCCATAGCAATGGTGGCGTCAATGGAAGTTCCCACCCCATTGTTATGGCAACCTGCCAATCAATCATTCAACCCAGAAAGAAGGCAAGTGTGGTCGGGCAAAGCATCACGTCCCGCACAATACAGTAAAAATAATTTGGCAAATGTTTATTCAAATTGCATTCAGAGGTGCAGTTTAAAAACGGTATACACTTTTTAGTGAATTTACAAATAAAATGGCAGAGACCGGCGCCTAACTCCGCCTGGCATCACGTCATTTCTGGTTTTGAAATAACGTGTTGCCAGAAGCAGAGGATGCCCGTTGACTCCTGGGATTGATGACAGTGCTATCCCAGGAGCCGACGGGAGAGTGAAAATGACGTACCGCAGTGAGGTAGGCCGGAAGTGGCAGGATTTTTTAACAAAAAAGGTATTTAAACAAAACCCAAAAAAATATCCAAAGATTAATGGCACAGGGATCAGCTACCATTGGGGCCGTGGTTGCTAAATAGCGTGGAACTCGGATATAAAAACTGGCTATTCACTAGTCGTTAAGGAAGCTGGCTCTGCTAGTCACTGGTGTAGCTGGCACGTGTCGGCGTCTTGAAAAACCAATGATAACTAGACATACAATGCAGGAGTCGTGCTACCAGCAGACACTGCGGAGGGGGGAGGAGCCGGGAAGGCGGGGCGGGCAGCCGGGGGACAGCTTAAGTAGCTCTGTAATGTGTAGGTGACAAGGAAGGGGGGGGGGGGGGGCCAGACTGACTCCACCCACATGAAAAAGCAGAAAGGAGCTGGATGGGGGGAGGAGACCACTGTTTGTGTAGCTTATTGACTGGTTAAGGATGGTGGCTGGTGCCCACTCCTTAACAAGCAGCATCTTTTTACCAGGTCACTCCAAAAAAGCACTCTGGGTCCAAAAAAGCACCCTATTTATTTATTTCAGTTATTTATATAGCGCCATCAATGTACTCTGCGCTTTACATCTATAATGTATCTTCACATCAGTCCCTAACCCTCCCAATCTAAGGTCCCTAACCCTCAAGGGGTGTACAATCTAAGGTCCCTAACCCTCAAGGGGTGTACAATCTAAGGTCCCTAACCCTCAAGGGGAGTACAATCTAAGGTCCCTAACTTACATTCACACATACACATACTACTAGGGACAATTTAGACAGGAGCCAATTAACCTACCAGCATGTCTTTGGAGTGTGGGAGGAAACCAGAGTTCCCGGAGGAAACCCGCAAAGGGAGAACATGCAAACTCAAGGCAGGTGATACCATGGTTGGGATTTGAACCAATTACCCGAGTACTGCCAGGTGGAAGTGCTAACCATTTAGCCACTGTGCTGCCCGCTTTTTACCAGGTCACTCCAAAAAAGCACCCTAGATGCGTTTTTTGTTGACTTAAAGCGGAGTTCCACTCATCCTGTCAAAAAAAAAACCGTAGCTGCTGACTTTTAAAAAACAGCCCCTTACCTGTCCCTCGGTCCCGTGGTGTGTCCCCCCCCCGCAGCCCGTTTCACCGGCTGTCCTGTATTCCAGGAGGCCGGCATCTTCAGTGTGGGCACCCGGCTGTGACAGCTTGCGGCTTCACAGCCGGGTACCCACTGCGCATGCGCGAGTTGCGCTGCGCTTTATGAATGGTCCCACAAGACTACAGGGGGGAGGGAGGACACCTTCCGTTTCCGATCGCCTAGGCGATTGGACCGGAAGTGGGAGCGGGTACCTGTCATATTCGGGTACCCGCCACCCAAAGGTGCCAATCCTTAATGGGGAGCGGGGGAGCAGTCCTTAAAGCGGAATTTCCCCTTTCGGGTGGAGCTCCTCTTTAAATGAAAGGTGCTTTTTGTTTTTTTTTTTTTTTTTGAGTGTGCTTTTGGAAAGCGTACCAAAGATGCAGGACTTTTCAGACTGTTGTGAAAAGTCGCATAAGATTTAAAGGGGAATCCTTTTGATGCGGTTTCGTCACACTGGAAAGGTGCATCAGTGTGAAAGCAGCCTTAAAGTGGTTGTAAAGGTTGTTTACCTTCTTACATTATATGTAAGAAGGTAAAAAAAAAACCCATTCAGTGTGCCGCTCCCCCTTCCCCCAGTCCCCCTGATACTTGCTTGAACCTGATCTCGATCCAGCACTGTGCTAGGAGCACCGGCAGGGGACCCCGAAAAGAGGAGGATCAGAGATGCTCTGTGCAAAACCATTGCACACAGCAGGGAAGTATAACATGTTTGTTATTTTAAAAAAATCTAATTGAAGCCTTTAATGTCCCTTCAGAAGCAATTTTCAGTCTCTTCTAAAACTGTAGCTTCCTGTGCGTCTGTTTTGGAGTCATCTTCAGTGCTATTTCTGTCTCAGATTTTTGCAGATATGTTGTTTATACAGATTTCTAGATGCAGGGCTGTCCGCTACACAGAGAAACTGTTGCATATACTTTTTCTAAATAAGAAGCCGCCTCATTTGCTTCGAATTGTGCTGCTGATTTTCTTGATGAAAATGTGTTTTGCATATTGGCAGGTGTTCGCTGTGTGGCTATGTTTGCAGTCACCCTCCATCCCTAAAATCGCACATGTGGAAGCATGCCAGCGATCAGAACTACAACTATGAGCAAGTAAACAAAGCCATCAACGAGGCCATGTCTCAGAGCACTCGGTATGTAACACAAAATTAGAGGCAAACTGCAGTTGGTCAAAACTTGGAAGATCTTACTTAGTACAGTTTTACCGGAAAGTGGAACTGCACTACATCCGAGCACCACAAACCAAAAATGCTGTTTAAAGCGGAGCTCCACCCCAAAATAGCATGAAAAATCCAACAGGTTGGTTGTACAACAACTGAATTGGGTACTATCAGCCTGGCTCAGCAGGGACCGGCCAAGATTTCAATCATTTATGGCCGGCTTAAAGGTTTTTATGGCCCTTAAAGTGGTGCTCCACCCAAAAGGGGAAGTTCCGCTTTAAGGACTGATCAACTGCTCCCCATTAAGGATTGGCACCTTTGGGGGGGGGGGGGGGGGAGCAGGTACCCGAATTTGATAGGTACCCGCTCCCACGTCTGGTCCGATCACCTAAGCGATCGGAAGCGGAAGGTGTCCTCCCTCCCTGTAGTCTTTTGGGACACGTGACAGGTCCCAGAAGACTACAGGACCATTCATGAAGCTCAGCGCACGCATGCACAGTGGGTACCTGGCTGAGATGCTGCAAGCTGTCACAGCCGGGTGCCCACACTGAAGATGCCGGCCTCCTAGAATACAGGACGGCCGGTGAATCGGGCTGCGGGGGACACACCACGGGACCGAGGAACAGGTAAGTGGCTGTTTTTTAAAAGTCAGCAGCTACAGTTTTTTTGTAGCTGCTGACTTTTGTTTTTTGGCAACATGAGTGGAACTCCGCTTTAATTCATTGGTAATATTCGGAGCGAACTCACCCATCCATCCACGTCTCCATGCTTTACTTTTTCTGAGAAATCGTTTTGAAAAAAACACCCCCTGGCATTTCTGGCAGTGGCCATCTTGAATAAAGTTAGATGCTTCATGTAGTATTTACTTCCTGGAATCCATTTGCGCCTAGCTCAGGCATTCGCTGAGATCCCTCCCTCTCCTCCTGAAGACTGCTGGGGTGTATGCCATCATTTACCTAGACAGGAAACCAGGAAGTAACTGAAGAAATGTAAAAAAAAAAAAAAAAAAAAAAGTTTAAAACCATTAAATATGAGAGGAAAGCATATATACATTTACTAATAGCAGCAAAAGGATTAAAAATAGTCCATGTTGATTGAGAGACTGAAGTTCCACTTTAAATAACTCCCTTCCACCTACCTACCCCACAAACTTCACCTCTCTGTGTCCTCCAAGTTTTTTTTTTTTCTTTTGTGGTGCAGCCAGTTGGGAGTCACACAGCCACCAATGCAGCAGAATTCAGACAGGCTCTTCCCTTTCTGCGCATGCTAAGAGGAGTCTCCATCTCTGTGGAAAGACCATTCACTATTAGGGCGCATAATAAACATCTTCCCTATGGAAGAATAGCAGTGAAGAGCACCAAAATGAACAGTTCTAGCTCCAAAAGTCACTTTATAATTTATAAAACAAGGGCCTGTATGTCTCCGTGGTCAGACAAAGGCCCCTTCATCAGGGCTGTTTCAAAGATCAGGATTGTTAAAGCTCGGTGGGCCAGGCGACATCTGTACCTGAGAGTAGTGTGAAGACCACACAACAGCTACACAAAGGAGCAGAGGACCAACTATGCAACAGTTCTGCTGGGAAATGTTTTTTTTCTTCTTCTCAAATTCTATTTTATTTAAAAATAACAGAAGACAGCAGAAGATATGTATCCATATAAACATAAACAAAATACAGAAGAGAGGTATCAAAAGCGATACAAGCAAGTGTAAATTCCAAAATTAAAATATGTATAAAACTTGCGCCAAAAGAATAGGTCAAAAATTAAATGCTGCTGTTCAAGGATTGACTAAACATCAAAATAATAATAATACAGTGCAAATAATACAAATAATCAAAATGTGAAAGATATATAAAAGTCCTCAATTAACCATTTGCCGCCCGCCCTATGGCCGGATGGCGGCCGGCAAATGTCATCAGCATTCCGGGTGGACGCCATGTGGCGTCCTCTCGCACATGCGCAGTTTGCGCTCCTGCAGAGCCGTGCAGCGGCGCGATCTGTCACCGGCCGTGTACCTCGGACATGGCCGATGACAGATCTGAGTACCGGCCCCCCTTGCTGCTACCATGTGACCTGCTGTGACCAATCACAGCAGGTCACATGACAGTTGTATACAATGGATGGCTTCATTCATGCCATCCATTGTATACTAGTGCCTAGCTGTGAATGGTCACAGCTAATCACATGCACATGTCATGTGATTAGCTGTGGCCAAATCACAGCTAAGCACAAAAAAAAAAACCCTGAATGAATCGATGTCATTCAGGTAAATGCTTGCCTATAGCAAAGTAATTCTTTGCTATAAACAAATTGTGTAAAAAAAAAAAAAAAAATACTGATCACTTCCCCAAGTAGTACAATGTTACTATGGTAACATTGTACTACTTTGGACATAGTGAAATATGAAAACAAAATCCTAAAATATAAACAAAATGTAATAAATTATCAAAAAAAAAAATATTTTTTTTTTTTTTTTCAATACTGTCACCAGTCAGTGTCCCTGATCACCGCCATGTCAGTTATATGATGACGCTGTACTGCACTGGTGACAATATGTAAAAGAAAAATAGTGAAACAAATTTTTTTAATTTTCCAAAACATTATGACAAAAAAAACTTCAAAAAACTCGCCATACCTCTTATGAAGTACGTCGGACTGTCTACTTTGCAAAAAGGGGTCATTTGGGGGATATCTGTACTGTCCTGACATTTGGGGGATATCTGTACTGTTCTGACACATTGGGGGATATCTGTACTGTCCTGACATTTGGGGGGATATCTGTACCGTTCTGACATTTGGGGGATATCTGTACTGTTCTGACATTCTTGGACCTCAAGAAATTAGATTGGCTGTCAGTACTTCAGGATTGATCAATTTTCAGATCTATACCATAGTTTGTGAACTCTATAACTTTCCTACAAACTAAATAATACATCCTAATTTGGGTTATTTTCACCAAAGACATGTAGCAGAATACATCTCGGCCTAAATTTATGAAGAACAATTATTTATTTGCAAACTTTTATAACAGAAACAAAGAAAAACGTGTTTTTTTTCAAAATTTTTGGTCTTTTTTTGTTCATTTAGCAAAAAAAAAAAAAAACCCAGCGGTGATTAAATACCACCAAAAGAAAGCTCTAGTTGTGTGAAGAAAATTATAAAATTTTAGTTTGGGTACAATGTTGTATGACCGCGCAATTGTCATTCAAAGTGTGAGAGCGCTGAAACTGAAAACTGGCCTGGGCAGGAAGGTGTAAAATTGCCCGGTATTGAAATGGTTAAAGCTCGGTGGGCCAGGCGACATCTGTATCTGAGAGTAGTGTGAAGACCACACAACAGCTACACAAAGGAGCAGAGGACCAACTATGCAACAGTTCTGCTGGGAAATGTTTTATTTTTCTTCTTCAAATTCTATTTTTATTTAAAATAACAGAACAGCAGAAGATATGTATCCATATAAACATAAACAAAATACAGAAGAGAGGTATCAAAAGCGATACAAGCAAGTGTAAATTCCAAAATAAAATATGTATAAAACTTGCGCCAATAGAATACGTGAAAAATTAAATGCTGCTGTTCAAGGATTGACTAAACATCAAAATAATAATAATACAGCGCAAATAATCAAAATGTGAAAAATATATAAAAGTCCCCAATTAAAGTCCAATGTCCCCAAAAAATTGTGAAAAAAAATTTTTTTACTCAAACTTCATAGGTTTTCCAGCATGCTCACATCTTCTGTGAAAAAGCATTTTAGTGATCCACTCCCACTCCTTTGCACTGAAGTCAACACCTCTGTGAATTTAGGCGCCAGTACGTAATTTCTAGTCTCCATGACGACCTGGGATTTGTCGAGCCCTGGCCTGCATAAAAAAATACCAGAAAGATCACTGGAACAAATCCTTGTTTGTTCTAAAAAGTTATTGCCAAATAAACAAGCCCATAGCAGAAATGTAAAAAAAAAAATCGCTTTCATCCACACCGGTGGGAGCTGAACTGGGTACTATAATAAGCAGACTTTTGGAATTTGGAGGTTCCCCTATTACTATTTTGGGCTCTTCACTTCTATCCCTTGATTAGATTTAGGACTGAGAGCGTAATTAGGGATTTTACACATAGGTTGTGCCATACATGCTGGTTCTGATTTGTAATGGAATATATATTTTAGGCTTCAGCGAGACCCTTTGAAGAAGGAGACACCGGACGACCCTTCCACATTAGTGGACAGCGACACCCCCCCAGTTCTGCGAGTCGTCCAGTGGCCGAAGCAAGTTACGTCGAGAACCAAAGCGCCGGCCTGTCACAAGGTAGCTCGTGCAACGCCGAAAAACTACAAAGCCAGATGAGGCCCGGGACCGAGCTGTGCGTCCTTCTATTTTGCTGTTGCATTTGCGGGTTCGAGTCCACCAGTAAGGAACTTCTGATGGAACACATGAAAGCACACGAGGGAGAGATCATCAACATCATATTGAATAAGTCCGAATCCGCGTCCTGAATATGGAGCTCTGCAATGCCTACGCCCGAGATCCAGCTGTCATGTGGAGGCTGTTAAATTATTTTTCTTTGATAAAAGGGCACGCACTCTAGATAAAGGTACCATTTGTCACAAGGAATAAATTATAGAAGCACTTCTTTTTTTTTTTTTTTTTTTTTTTTTTTATTGGCCAATCCAGCTTTTATTACTTAGAGTATATCCAGGCAACAAGTAAAAGTCACTGCCATTTGATGTTTAGGAGTCATGATTTTGACTTGATCTGCGTTTACCAAACCCATCTCGGTCCGGCTTGGATGTAACTTCTGGTTAGGATTGCAGCCTCTTGTCGCATGATGCTGTGTAACATCTCCAGCTCCGATGTGTGTAGGTAATGCGAGGCTTGAGCTGGAACCATCGAACACACCGGTCTGTATTTTCACAGACTTCGTGCCGTAAAGCACTCGCAGATTCTGTACTTCACATGTAGATTGAGCTGGTGGAAAAAGATGAAAATTGGGAGTCCTTTTGCTCACAGACGGTGTATCCAGAATCCATTTAAATGGAACAAATGATTGCATTTTGGTTGGAACATTTCTTTACACTTCTCTGTTAGCCCTTTAAAGGTGTTTGTTTTTTTTTTTTGTGTTTTTTTTTCTTTCTTTTTTTGAGGAGTTGCAGAGATCGCTATTTTTGTTTCCGTTATTTAAGGACGAGATATTTGCAGGCAAAACTTGTTTGAGGGAATGAATCTTCTTTTTTGCTATTTTGCAGAGTAGTTTTGTAGTAGCTGAGCTTGGTGTGTACTTCTTTCTTTCTTTCTTTTTTTTTTATGAATTAGAGGGTTATTGATAAATACTACAAGTGAGATACCGTGATGGAAAACATTGGCACAATTTTTTTTATTACTTTTATATGTGCACTTCAGAGTGTTCAGTAAAGGCAAATCAGTTCAAAAAGCAACAATCTGGGCCATTGTGCTGGATGGGCTGTAAGTATTCTGAAGCCAGGTCACTGTCTGTATGACTAAAGCTGAACTCCAGGAAAAAGATGAATGCATATATTGGAGGAGTTTCAGCTACTTCATGATTTGTATTTTTTTTTTTCCCAGCCAGTCCTGAGATTTACACAGGCCTGCTAGAT